TATGGTTAATATTTGAGGAATAAACTAGTCAACTCGACTCTCATTTATACCGAATCTGATGTATAGCGACCAAATTCACCTGAAAATTCGGATCGGTAGAATTGCCATGGGAACAGTTGTGGATGATTCCGTTCATATCCAGGTATAGGTTATCTGCATAAAAAGGGATTTACATAGTATCAGATAGTCTGTGATGTGCATAAATAGACTTCTTTTGCTGAGGTACATGAGGTGGCAAAGCCTATACGTACGAACGCGTTTTACTTTACTTGTTATCGCGAATAGTGCACCATAGAATGATACAAATCATAGTCATATGGATAATAGGAGGAATAGCAAGGCGCTATTCTCACTGCGTGCATGACAATTACGATTGAGATTTCCTTCAGTTCTCTGCAACGAGTGTTTCATTATGAGGAACTTTATCGAGAGCACAGCAGCAGCGATAGCTGTATAAAAATATGTCCTGGTCTAACCTCTACACACATAAGCACATCATTCAGAGCTTTAAGGTATCGTTTGATACAACCGTATTCCAGTACTGGCGAGACTGTTTCGTGCATAGAGGTACAGGAACGCCAGATAACCCCACTCCATACCAGTAAGCACCTGAACGAACATAAGTAATGCATTCGGCCAACGCATCTGCGGCTAATCAGCAATTCACACTCTGCTGTCTGCAGAGGATCCATTCCATTCACACTTGTACACATGCATGGAGTATCGGTAGGACTATACACACTCCCATTCACAAGAACATACCAAACACGGGAATCTGGTAGGATTATACACACTCCCATTCACAAGAACATACCTAACACGGGAATCCGGTAGGACTATACACACTCCCATTCACAAGAACATGCCAAACACGGGAATCTGGTAGGACTATACACACTCCCATTCACAAGAACATACCAAACACGGGAATCTGATCATCGTTGATCACCTGGCTGATGCAGGGATAGCGCTCGCTGTTGCCGGTAGACAACACGTGTGTGGTGGGATGAGTAATGGATGTCGTGGTGTGGTGTTGTGTATCAAGGACGGACAATCGATTCGTGCGGTATGGTACGGTGTAGTAAACAGAGACGAACCGCAAGTGGCAAGTGGATAAGTACAGTCCGCATAGACCAGTACTTACAGCTGTGAGGTGACATTGGACGTACAACATGTGTAGTGGAAGAAAAAGCGACTAGAGGAGGGCATATGCACTCCACACATGTGCTCTCTAAACGATATATTGCGCAAATGAAGTAAACTCGGTGCTCGAATTGAAGTAATATATATATATATACATATGTAAATATATACATATATATATATATATATATATATATATATACATATAAATAATATAT